TATAATTATATGTAGATGTATAATTATATATATATAAAAAAGAGTTCGTCTTTATAATAGTATCGAAATACATAATTTTTTTATTTGCAATTCACTGTTACATGTATGTGCCTAGTTATTAGCCACGTTGCATTATATTCTATATTGTATAATAATTTAATTCGTACTATCGATTAATGAATGTAACAAGTTCTTCGATATCAAACTCTATATGAATATAATATTATGGCGTAACGTGTAAAGAGCTCATATTTAGGCATACATGAAATTTAATAAATCGGAATACATTTTACGAATTAACAAGTCTTAAAATTCTTTTATTCTGTGTACCTTTTTCTTTTGTATTCATATATCTATATAATTTTAAAAAAATTGTCTCCCAATTGTTTCTTATCTATTTTTTTCGTTATCTGATAAGTCGGAGTCAACCTATTTTCATATATTACTACGGACATTATCATAAATTAATTGTCAGTTCTCTTATCACGGTTGAAAATTTTCCAGAACTTGTAATCTCTAATCTACTGTCTATTTTTTCAAAGAAACGCTCGCAAACCCGCTATCTGTGTTCGCGCGTTTCGATTGATCGATTCTCGTCTACGTCATCGTTAATAATCACCGCAATTGGTCGAGACAAGCACAAGCGGCAGGCGTCTGCTATGACAGTCGACTCAGCGGCGTCCGACGCGACGATCAGCAGACGGCGCAATGTCTTTGTCGTCCCAAGTTCAGTTGGACGCAACAGCTGTAGAAAATTTTCGTGAATATTTACGTATACCATCGGTTCAACCAAATGTTAATTATGGTAAGCAATTTGAGATATTAAATTTTTAGCATTTCTAATTCATTTGCTATGATAAACAATGCAAATAGTTTTTGAATTTCACATGTATATACATGTACATATATATATATATATCTTTAAGGATGCGATTATCGTAATAAAAATCGTGCACACATATTGCATACCGGGACGAAATTGATCATTTCCTTGTTAAGCAAATCATACATTTTTCATGCAATACAGGACCCCTATTTTTACACATTAAACTTAATTGATTAATTCACGATGCTCACGCGTTTCTGCAGAAGGACAGAGAATCTTTCAGTTAGCTCAACCGATCCAAGTTCGAAGCGTCGGAGACGCTACCCAGCCATTGCATGCCCCACCTGTATGGAATGTTATTTCTATTTTTATATTTTTTCATTAAGATGACAATGTGACAATCTTAATCTTCTGTGAAATTATCTTTTCTACTTTATTGTACTTCGCGAAAAAATGGAAATTTAATGACTTGCATACGATCGTTATTTGAGCATGATTCCTGGCTGACCTAAATTGTACGTAATTAGTAATTTCTCTTAAACTTTATGTTGCCTTATTTGTTTTTTATATCTATTTGAACTAATTGAATTTACTAATAATAAACAATTATTAAAAAATGATAATTCTGCTATAAATAATTTATTACATAATATATTAGTATAGTTACATTGTAATGATTGATAATCTGTAATTTTCTAAATTTTTTTATAGAAGATGTTAATCATTGCAAAAAATAAAATTATTTTTTTTATGAAACATTAAAACATCAGAAAACAGTTTTAGAAATTTCAAAAATAATGAATTTATACTTAGACTAAAAAAAAATATCTATATATTATTAAAGATCTATATATTATTAAAAAAAAAGAATTATAAAATTATTATAATTAATATATATTATCAATATTAATTTAAGATTTTTTTTTACAGATGGTTGTGTTGCTTTTCTTGAGAAACAAGCAAAGTCTCTTGATTTACCTATCAAGATATACTATGTTGACCCAAAAAAACCAATTGTGGTTCTCACATGGATAGGCACAGATCCGTCAAAACCAGCTATTTTATTAAATAGTCATATGGACGTTGTACCTGTTTTTGAAGTATATATCATAATTATTCATGTTTATTAGTTAATTCCTTAGACATGACATAAATTATAAATAGAAAGATTGCAAAATTGATATATTAATATAGTATTCTATAAATTGTTTATTTTAAATGTCTTCAATATAATTCTAAATCATATAAAAAAATGTCTTGAAAAGTAAAGTATCAAAAAATTTTAAGTAATATTTTCTTTAATATAATTCTAGATAATATAAAAAATTTTTTGAAAAGAAAGTAAAATGATTTTCACTTATAAATGAAGCAATATAAGTTAACATAGCATAGCGATGTCAAGTGTAAGGAGTTGAAATAAAAAAAAAATCTAATAAATCTATAATATATATAATTAATAAAAAAAATTTTAGGATAAATGGACTTATCCTCCTTTTGATGCTCATATAGATGAAAAAGGAAACATATATGCACGTGGTAGTCAAGACATGAAATGTGTTGGAATTCAATATTTGGAAGCAATTCGCCGTATGAAACTTACTGGACAACGTTTTAAAAGAACAATTCATATTCTTTTGTACCAGATGAAGAAATAGGAGGAGTGCTTGGCATGGAAGATTTTGTACACACTAAAGACTTTCAAGCTTTAAATATTGGTTTTGCATTAGATGAAGGTGTAGCTTCACCCGAAGAAAGTTTTTTTATGTTTTATGGAGAGAGATCAATTTGGCATGTTGTAATAGAATGTTCAGGCAATCCAGGTCATGGATCTCTTCTACTGGATAACACAGCTGGAGAAAAGATAAGAGTCATAATTGATCGTTTTATGGATTTTAGAGCTAAGGAGAAAGCAAAATTGAAAGATCCAAAAATACAGCTTGGTGATATTACAACTATAAATTTAACATTATTGAAGGTATGTAAACTTTTAAAATTGTTTGATTCATGATTATTACATATTATATTATTTTAAACATTTTAATTAAATTATTATATTCAAAAAATATAATTAACTTTATTTAAAAAATTACATGGCTGTTCATATAGGAAAATAATATACACAGTAAGTATTTTAATAATAATTAAATATAGTTAGTAGTATCATAATTATTATTTTAAATATTATTATTATTGTAAATTGTAAAAATTAATAGTTTGATCATTTATATATTATATATATATAGTATATTAACTATATATACAAAAAATAATTTATTTCAGGGTGGCGTACAACCAAATGTTATACCTCCTTCTTTGACAGCAATTTTCGATTGTCGACTTGATCCTTCTGTTGATCATTATGAGTTTGAAGCTATGATCAAAAAATGGTGTGAAGAAGCTGGTTCTGATGTTACATATTCATTTGAACAAAAAAATCCTAAAGTTGAAAATACAAAACTGGATGATTCTAATCTTTTTTGGATTGCTTTCAAAAAAGCTTGTGATGACCTTGCAATACAATTACAAATAGGAATTTTTCCAGGTGGAACTGATAGTCGGTATATAAGACAGGTAATGATCTTCTATTTTTATAAATTATTTTTAGATACATTTTTTTTAAGAATTGTTTTCTATTTCAGGTTGGAATTCCTGCTATTGGTTTTTCACCCATGAACAAAACTAAAATGCTTCTTCATGATCATGATGAATATTTAAACAAAGACATTTTCTTAAAAGGTATTGAAATATATATGAAAATAATAGCAGCAGTAGCAAATGTCTAAGTCAATATATTAAGTTTAAAAAATATTTTAAAAATATGGTGAATTAAATAAACAATCTAGTGCAATAATGCATAAAGTTTAAAAATGTTACATAAATTTTAAAATTTATAATTGTTATAAAAATATAATTTATATATGTTATATATATTTATATAAATATATCAAATTACTAAGTAATAGCTATAAAAGAAAAATGTTCAATACATAAGTGAAAAATTAATATAATCATATGATGGCTCAATGGGATTCATTATTTTAACACACTGTCAGTTCTGGTAGTTAGAAAATAATTGAAAACAAGTTTTTAAGAGAATATCAATGCGAATGATATGTTCTAACAATATGGAAAAGAAAATCTCATCAAGAGGAACAGAACTGATTTGAATCAGGTATTAAAAAGTGTATTTATGGATTTTTCTAATGTGTTTGTATAACTTAATATTTATTATTGAATCTTTTTATAAATTAAGTACAAAATAGTACAAGAAAGCACAAAATATCTTTTCTTCATAATTGTATATAACATATTTTATGATTAATGATTTTTGTAAAGGTGTTAAATTGCTTTAAAAATTTTTATTACATATGTAATAATAATATATATACATATATTTTTTTTAATGAAATGATAAATAATTATTTAAACTTTAATATATATATACATATTATAGTTTAAATAATCATTTATCATTTTATATATATAATAATATATTTATCCATTTTAAAACTTATAGCAAGAACCGTGTTTACATTAATAATATATTTTTATGTATAATAGAGTAAATATATTGAAAAAAATCATCTATCAATCTTAGTAGTATTGAAAGTTTTATTTTAATTGAAATTTCATAAAAATATAATCATGCTAATATATTCTATTATTATTTAATTTGAGACAATAAGTTAAAATCCATTTTATGGGATAACAATATTGTATTAAATTTTTTTTCATGTTAAAATCTATAAATGTATATGTGTATGTATATCCCTACTATTATTGCTATTTTCATTTTTAAGAAAACTACCGCCCTCCCCTCTCTATTAGAATGATGGGCTCGTCCGATGTTTTCATCTCCCGTCATAAAAAATTTTCGTGCAATTAGTATATGTTGTAAAATATTTTGTTTTTAAAGAATGATAAAAAATAGAAATTTTTTTTTAAGTTATATATGAAATTAAAATATATTGAAATAAACATAGTAACAGTACTTATTTTTCGTATATTGTTTGGATTCGGCCATTTTGAAGTGAGGAAGGTAAGGGAGAAGATGTGCAATTGTTGTCATTCATAATATGTATACTGCAGTGTCTATCGTTGCCATTGATAATTTAATGAATAACTATTTCCAAAAAATAGTAATTTTCAACAGAAATAATAATTCTATATAAAAATAAGAAAGAAAATTTCCTTGTATATATCCCTTGGTCGGCCATGTGTATAAGTACATCGTTTAAAATGTCTTCACAACCCATACTGAACAGCCAATAAGGAGAGGGCGGTAAAACCACGTGACCGTTGCTGGCCAATCGTCAGGACGAAATTTGAAATCGTGCGTGGTCTTTGTTCACTATCCTCCCGTCAACGTTACTTCAGTTCCGTAAAGGGGGCCTTGTGTCGGTGTCCGTTTATACATGGTCGCTGCCAAAAATCGCATAATTCTCTTGTAAATATATGTGTGAAAGTGGTGCTTGGCCGCGAGGACGACGTGATTTAAGGATTGTCAAACATACGGTAGGTCTTGTTATGTTTTATCATGTGCCGTTCATACAAGTCTTGTCGAAAAATCATGAAAAAATATTTTGTGTTCTTTGCCGGCCCGCCGAGCCATCGTAGCTTTCGAGTGTCAAGGTACAAGGGGGCAGTCATGACGCTTTCAACGCCAATTTTTTTTCTTCTACTTTTCATTGTATTGGAGTTTATTATGCTTTATGATATATCTATATTTACATTCATGTTTAATTATGATGATTAATAGTGTCCTCTTAATTTACCAATAATTCGATGATTCGAGAATTTTTTTTACCTCTGTAACCGGTATTTTTAGGCCATTTAGATACGATAAATTCATGACCGGTCACAAGATTCATACATTTGCCGCGCTCCGTCGATTTCGTAGCGTAGGCGGCCGTGATCATATCACCATGGCAATTATTTATTAAGCGTACAATGCTCCATAAAAATAAACAATCACTTGGCTTGTGTGTCAAATCGAACTCAATGAGTGATTCATCATAGACCTAATGGATCTCTATATAACTTTCGGCGGGAAGAGAGTGCATTACCGGGAAACCTTACTGATATAATATGAATTTCCGGTGATGAAAGCTATTGTTTTGCCGCGCAATATACTATACGCAATGTCACGTTTGCACTTATACTACGTATCATTTTGATTTACTGTTGTATTCATGAATGATGTAAGAAAATAATTGTGCACAAAAATATTTTTCTAATTTAATAAATCATTTTTATTAAAAAAAAATTAATTCAATTACTATTTAGCAAAGCAATTTATGATTTCTATATTCATTTTGAATGAAATCTAAATAAATTATTATTGATTTTCAATTGCATATCAAATCAGATTAACATACTGTTTATTGTTTTTATCATTGTTTATTTATTATATAATAACGTTTTATGTATGAATTTCTGAAAAAATATTACCAAAAATAATTAAAAATTAATCAAACGAATTTAATGATAAACAGTTATTGGCTTTTTATTAATTAAAATTATTAATTAAAATGAAATAAATTGTTTTTCATAAATGTAACAAGCAATGTACGCTTAAAATAATTAACGAAGCTAACCCAAAGTTTCCCTCGTCTTGACTGCAAGGTAATCAATAACATGGATAGCAATTAAAAATGGTTATTTTCAGTGGAGATTAAGATCTATAAGAAATAAGCTATCATTTTTCAGATAAAACAAAGATTTTAAAAACAATGATATTATTATAAAAATATATATTATTATATTGTTGTACAAATTATTATTATCATTTCTATAAATATGCATAATGATATATTTATTCATAACAGAATTATCAATTTTTCGTTGAATTGTCTTTAGAAAAAGAGATTTTTTTTGAAAATATTGCAAATAACGAGTAGTAAGGAAGGCCCCTCGAGCACTTTCAAGCCTCACCGCCACGAAAGCTATTGACCGTGGGAACCTTCTGGGAACCCTACCCCTCGCCATATGCCCACCGCAGGAAATATCCTACAGGCTCAACCGAAATTTACCTCGCCATGTTTCATATTCACGAATGATTATTTGTCATTAAGAAACATTCTTTATATTATCAAATGTTTTTTTATTTATTTCGTTATATTTTTTTTTATGTTTTTATAAAAAAAATTATTTCTTGATATTATTTGAAGAATTGTCATTAACATTTTTTTCTCTTCTGCTTTTTTTTTTTATTCCTTTTTTTAGTTTTAAACTTTAAAATTGTATTAGTAATTATTTTATTTTCCAAACAGTGAAAGAAATATTTTTACATATTCTAAATGAGATATGGAAAATAGGAATTGATAAATAGTAATTCTTGTTTATAAGTTATTAAGAATATTGTAATTATATATTTCAATATTTTTTTTTATCTCGTTTTTTTTTTCATTTTTTTTTTACTAAAAACTCGTTTAAGATAAACATTTGATTCGATTGTTTAGAAACGAAATGAATGTCTTTCAAACATGTTAAAAAGTTATATTAAAAAATGTGAAAAGATAACTATAAAAATAGTTCGTGAACTATGCTTTTATGTGATATTTATATAATCTCGATCCTTTTTATTATCATGTGAAATACTTGTAATGCAATTTTTTAGAACGATAATAACGTGACGGATTTTACGCTTATGTTTACGTTTGGTTTTTTTTTTT